AAAGCCAGGTCAAACACTGGTTAGATCCGTCTCAGTAACAACACAAATGGCGAATACTGCCACCATCTGGTGAAAACTGTGGTTACTCCACTTGGTCTCAGCAGGTTAAACCTCCATTCTGTCCCATGTGACTTATTTTATCTCTCAGTGTAGGCGGACACAAAATACTGGTTGTATAGCTTTATGTTTATGTTGTCAGATCACTGCAGAAACATAAAATATGCTACAGGCTAACCAGTGTGAGCAGTAATTGCTGGTTAGCTGCATTAGGTCCACTTTCAGAAAGGACTGGACCATATGCTTGAAGGCAATATCACATTAAGAATGTGGACAACACAGTTTTGTAAAATGATAACATGGTAAAAACATATCACCACCAAGGTTGTTACAGTGAACTAAATCTAAACTAAAAACTGTGAATTTTCTTTTTTGTTAATTGAAGGAAAAAAAAAGAAAACTAACGGAAACAATATTGTTTACTTACAAAACGACAAAATAAGATAAAAGATATACACTAAATGATAAATGAGCAAACCCAGTCTGGAAGCTAAGTGAAATTAAACTGAACTGGAAACAAAAAAATTAAAAACTAATGAAAAATACTCAACTGTAATAATTGATCACCACCACATAATTCCCCTAAAAGTGAATAAAGACAGGGCTGTTAATTGATGCGGTGAAGATCAAAAGAAATGGTGGCAACATTAAATGCATTGGTAGTTTAGTTGACTAAACTGAACACTCTGCAGGAATGAATGGAGCAAACAGTGCTGAGAGCATCAGAGTGGTTAGAAGAAATAAGAGTGAAGACACGTACATCCATGGTGCTGCTCTGTGCCTGTTAGGTTTCCAGTTATGTCATTCTGAGACAAGACAAGGGGGATCAAACGGAGATCACATAGATTAGCCTAAATGTGAGTGATTTGGTTAAAGAGATTTAGTTTTGGTGAATATTGCAGTTTTTCCCTCAGTCAGAAACTCTTATGTGTATGGTGGAGTACACAGTAAAAAGTAAACAACATTTTTTTATCATTTGTTTTTTTTACTTTTCATGGACCAAACAACTAATTGATTAATCAAGAAAATGATCGACAAATGAATCCATAATTAAAGTAACTGGTATCAGACAATAGAGGGGGTGCCTTTTCCAAGCTTTGTCTGAGGGGAGGCCCAGTCTTAAACCGACCATTGTGTTTTAAGAAATGTCAAATCCCTATGAAATTATGATGGAGCCGATCTACAGCAGATAAATTGAAGGTTCTGTTTAATATGTGCGCGCAGTGTTTGTAAAATCTTTCAGGTCCCACTTAATCCTTTCACATTTTCTCTTCTTGCCTTCCTTGGATAGAAGAATAACCCAGGTGAGGACTTGTTTTCTCTGAAATCACACGAGAGTAAAAACAGGAGTCATCAGAGCGACTGTTGAAAGTGCTCTCTCCTTCTCTGCAGGTTGTCAGCGTACCCATATAATGTGCCCACATGTAACGGCAGTGGATTCAATGTGACCTACCTGCAGGGCGACTTCTCCTCCTCGGCAGAGTTCTTTGTGTGTGTCGGTGTGTTTGGGTTCCTTTATTGCACTGCCACACTCATCCTCTACCTGGGCTACCAGAACATCTACCGCCAGACCACCCGCGGTCCCGTCATAGTGAGTACACATCCTCTGATCAGCAGTCAGCTTTCTTCATACTGCTAACCTCCTTCACACCCACCAGCCCCGGGTATGAGGAGAGATGGGGTTGTTTTTATGAGCCAAGTGTTAGAGCTACACAGGGGGCTGTGTTGGTGGCAGCATGTTCTTTAAGGTTCCTCTGAGACATGAAATACTGTCCACAAAGTCCAGATGGAGTGACTAGGTGTGTAATGGTACACAAAATGAATGGTTCTCTGTGTGCCTCATTTTGGGGGTTACAGTTTGATACATTTTTGGTACAACAGGGAAAAGAGTACAAAATACATTTTTTTTTTTTTTTT